TGGCTACCCAGCCACGTACCGTATTCTTATTTGAGTGCAGTCACACCATGCCCATCTCATGTGACACACACTCTTGTTACCAGGGTATGCATAACCGTGTTACATCACTCGTGCTACCACTCAACTGAAGAGTTTGTCAGACTCGAAGGTGGCAACACCATATCAGTCGTAAAATTATTGACGAAGATCAAAATCACGGTAGCGCAAACACACTGGACGACTGGTTTCGTCGATGGGCTCTTCATAACAATCGTCATCCGCCCAAGATGGTCCTTTAATGCCAGGATTTGGCTCAACGTGCAAAAGCGCTGTCTGACATGGAATATGAGCATCAATTCAAGGGGCGGGTCATACAAGATTGTGTAATTGTACAAGGGTGTGGATTACACAAGACGGTGTAATCACACAATGGTTTGGCTACACGTTAACAAAAAGTCTATACTTGGCTGGGCTTCCTACTTCAATAAGGTTTTACTCTTTAATTAGGAAACCCTATAGATTTAGATATAGGCGGCTTTGCCGCAAATAAACCAGAAATACAGTTTACCTATTAAAAAGTGTTGATTTGCCTTATGTTCAGGTAGTGGTTACTCTTGAAGTAAGCGGATTGCGATCCGCTACACTCGTACTGGTTCTAAGTATAAAACGGAGATTACCGACCTTAGTTTAGCTTTCTATAGGCGAAAGTACCACGGCAGCTCCGCTGCAATTAACTTCATATAGCAAGGCTCTTTCGAAATCGTCGTGAAAGCAATACTTAGCTTCTATAACCAATATGATGACCCAGGGTCATCCATCATCCTTCGTTTGAGTGAATTTTGCCATTCTAACGTGAATATCCACCTCGGCGTAGGATAAATTCAATGTATATTATGCTATTACTAATATGTACGTCTGAACTTTACCACTTCGGTAGTCATCATGCCCGCGTGGTCATACTCCGCAATAAAATTATCTCTTTTGTCTTTTGGTATGAAGCCCAACTAGTCAAATAAATCATACCATTGAATGCCGTTATTGCCTGTATAAAATCCTTATGTCTGTGGTATCAGAGTTAACGTTTTTGCAGAATTTTTGCAAATTTTCATCCCAAATTGTTCTCATGCTTTGCCGAATTAAACGCCTGATTATTAATACTCAGCACTAAACCTGAGAGCCTATTGGGCTTGCGACAGCCGAACTTGTATCAGACAGCCTCGATTCAGCGTCCTAGAATAAAGTATGATGGCGGCGGCTACCTATTAGTTAGAAAAAAAATGATCAAAACTGATGGTAGACAATTCAACAAGCCATAATGAGTTAAGAAATACTTCAAGTAAATAATATCACCGTGTGATATTAGGGCATAAAAGCATAAATGGAAAAATAATATTTCGATAATCGCTGTGCTCATTATAAACACAAAGTGTAGTAGTGTGTACAGTAAACAGCAAGCATACTGCTAGAATTTCAAGTACATTTCTCGAAAGTAGCACTATGAATTAAAAAGCGTTACTTATCAATGATGATAAAATTTACAATTTAAAGCATTTAGCTGATCACAAATGAATATCTTCTAGGTGGAGCAAGCGATCTCATCTCTTGTGTTAAAGTCAGCAGCGAGACAGTAAATACAATAGCCGATGTACTATTCGGCGACAGCGGTATTAAGGTTTATGATAGGCTAGCTTAAGCGATGTGCTCTAAAGCTTACGATCAAGCTCTTAACTGTTTTTCGCACAAAACTTAGCTTTAATTCGCGTTGCGCTAAGTATCGAGGAAATCCGTTTGTTAATATAGTCTGCACTATCATGCCCATGCGTAGCAAAGAAGAAACGACAACCGCCACCAAAAGTAAGCTGTCCACAAGGTTACCCATATTGCTGAAATATAGTAATTAACACAATTCATGAATAGTGGATCAGCTAAATGTTTTATTTATATCTAAAACTCGAACACACAAAAGTACCTTCGTGCTATGATGTGTAGCATACTGGCGTCACCGAGTACAATGCCCAGAAATTTACCTTATATAGCTCTTCCCTTTCTGAATCAGTCGTCTTTTTGGCAAGCATTTCTAGCTCCTGCTAGCGCGCTTACTATTTACCGCCGCGCCGAATTAAAGCGCTCTCTGAAAACATCACGCGATGCTGTCCGAGATCAACACGCGATACAGCTTACAAAAAATAGTCAGGAGCCGGCTTCTTTGCAGGCACACCACGTGCGTCTTGCGGTGCAGCCTCGAAAATCTATGTTTAAAGTAATTAACATACAGTGATTTTATTCGATTGTACCGCGCTTAATGAAGCTCACATACCTTAAATCGCTGTTCCAAATGTTCGTCCATCTCCAAGATTGCCGCGACATTGCCGCAACGGTAGCAGTAGTTGGGCGCCGACCAAACAGTCACCAATGCACTACTAAACATGGATTTGTGCCCTTCCATCACAAGCTGATGCGCTCTGCAGATAAGCTGGATGTCATTTGTCTCATTAAACTGTCATGACACATAACAATGATCAAGTGTTCATCGCAAAAAAGCATCACCACAAAGTGGAAGCTTGATAATCTGTATTGGTTACCTTCTCCACAACATCACCGCCGAAAAGATAACCAGCACCACGAGGACTAAGTCCCCAGCCGTCAATATCTTCCGGATCGGACCACATAAGGTCGCACATAGCCCCATCGTGCGGAACTTCTTGCTTACGGTCAATGATACGAATCTGATCAAGCGTGTTAATCGATGGAGACAACCCGCCGTGAACGCAAAAAATCTTGTCCTCGATAATCGCCGACAAGCTTAAATAATCAAAAATCTCCGTGCAATATCGCCATACATTCACCGAGCCATACTTGCGAAGGCACTCATCATAGAAGCCGTACACCTGGGTGATCTGACGACTTTCGTGATTACCACGAATCAGCGTAATGCGATCGGGGTACCGCACCTAGACAACCACACCAAGTCAGCTAGTTCATTCTTTCTATTCCCTTTGCAAATTCTTTCTCAGAGGAACCTTTAGTGCGAGCAGCAGCAAAAATGTTTCCACACTGTAAAATCCACGGTCAACAAAGTCGCCCATAAACAGATAGTTTGTCTCGGGACATTCGCCACCCACGTTGAATAGCTCTTTAAGATCGTAAAATTGACCGTGAATGTCACCGCAGATCTGTTCGCATATGTTTAAAACAGCTATTTCTCAATTTTACTGAAAATGAGCTATTTCCGTACCGTTACAGGGGCATCAATACGCTGCACATTGCTTTCGTCCACGAGGATCTCGCGCGCCTTCTGACATAATGCTTTAACTTCTGACTCCTTGAGATACTCGCAGCGCTTCAGCTGTTCAATCTGTCTATCCAGATCACTCTGACTTGCCGCCATGTCCGTAGAACCACTAGTTCTTTATTGCAAGAGATTGCTTACAAGACGCGTGCAGCTTTGTGCTCACTGTCTTTGTGTTGACCGGTCGTTTTAACCCATCAGAATGAATATAAAATGAAGAGAGGATTACTCAATGTATTCAATATCTGAGGTGTCCTAACTGAGCAATTTATCACACACGCAACCTGATAGGATGCGTCGTTTTATGATCAGCTACTTGTTTAAATTGGCCACTAAACGGCAACTTTGGACGATAGCGCATATATGTTGTGCCTCCTTCGGCACAGCGAGTACAAACCAAAGTCAGCACGTCGTACGTAGATGCACCCAAGCGGTCGCAAAGTATGTTCATGGCGATTGTAAACTTTCAAAAAGGCTGTCCACTACTGCCAGTTTCTTAAATCACTGCGGTCGTATCTCGGCATAAACCACTGCACCACTTTATCTAGGAGATACGACCGCAGTGTGTGGACATATTCAACCTCGTCTTCAACGGCAGTGAATCTTTGTCCTCAAAAGGCTCGCTTTCTTAAGCAGGGTCATCGCTCATGTCGCCGTACAGAAGTAAGTACACTTTTAATGAAGTGATCACTGGCGTTGCATGTCGTGCTCCTCTGTTTTTATCTCTCCCTTCTCGTCGATTATATGTTCCCGCGACGAAGAACGTATGGTAAAGATACTGGCAGAATCTTCGGCTTATGTTCTTTGTCTTTGGGGCGGTGATCATGCACATTAAGTCTTTTGGGTCTTGCAGTACATACAATCACAATCGACATTGCTGTGCGCAGCAGTTTTGTTCCCTATTAAGTTAGGCAGCCAATAGTGAGACTAGGTGTAAGCGAATGGTGGGGTCATCAATCGACTCGAAGATATTAAAAATGACCGAAGCGGCTGTATCAACCAAGCACATAACAGTAAAATTAGATGGAACAGAGGATGATAAGCCCGAAAATGAGAGCACGGTGAAGCTCTCTAGGCGAGCAATGCGCAGGGAAAAGCGTCACATGCAAATGGTAGAGCGCAAGGAGCTAAAAAAACTGAGACACCAGGAGGAGCAGCGCGCCAAGAAGGCTAAAGGAATCATTTCGCCATCTGTGGAGCTGGACATGAGCGACACAGCCATCCTACGGCGCAGGGAGCGCAATATTGCTAAGCGAGAGACACTTCTGATGGCTGCTGAGGAAGGCAGTAAGGTGGTGATAGATTGCGCGTTTGACGATAAGATGTCCGAAAAAGAGAAGAAGAGTCTTTCGCAGCAGATAATGTGCGTAGTTGTATACCAATTTTATGTGGTGAGAGTGAGCATCATTCTGAACTAAATTGTGTAAAAGGTTTTCGTATGGAGTGAATAGGCGAAGTTCCATGCCTATGAAGTACGTGTGCAATTTGCTTTGCCATTCACACTATTGGCCTTTAGCATCTAATCTGTTTCTTCAGCGTGTATATTACTTCGCTGCACGGTGACGTGAGGAAAAACTTAGAGAAAATAAGCGGTTTTCACGAGTGGCAGACGGTATGGCTATCACTGCTGGCCAATTTGAAAACAAGATCGAATGATAATTGTTTGATGTCAATTTGCAGTTTGCCGAGTCATCGTTAAGCTACATGGATATATTTAAAAAAGAATCACTCGTTTATCTCACTGCTGACTCACCCAACACCATCACAAAGCTGTGCCGTGATAAGGTGTACATCATTGGCGGCATTGTAGATCGCAACCGCTTAAAAGGAATCACATACGAAAAGGCGATAAAACAGGGCATTGAAACTGCAAAGCTTCCGCTCGACGCTGTTGTAGATATGGGCTCAGCTACGCGTGTGCTGACTGTGAATCATGGTGCTTCTTAAAATGCTTGGTCCGTGATTTTGTTGAGACTTATATAATGTGTATGTCGCAGTGTTTGAGATTCTTACACACTTTTCCAAAGTGAAGAACTGGGCTCAGGCCACTTTAGCGACGCTTCCATCACGCAAAGGCGTCCATTTCAAAGAAACTTCATAAATGTGGCAGTCGTCATTAAACAAGAAACTTAAAGTGTCATCAACTATTACGCTCCTCGTATAATGCGCAAAGCCTTTTCCAATCGCTCTACCGCTAGCTTCGTATCTTTCACCTTAAGCCAGAAAAGTATATTTGCAATTAGAATGAAATGAGAGGTAAAGCTTATGCGCACCTTAAGAGCTGCTATGGCAAATTTGGAGTACTCAATCGCATCATTAATCTCGTTCTGTGATGCATGTGTATCACGCAAACGTTCGGGCTTGCCTTGAAATGCTTGACTCGTTAAACATAAAGAAGGCTCGTAGGATGGAGAGGGGGCAGAAGGCAATTGGTACGAGGAAGTTGGGGCAAAATGGGTTTCGTGTGATCGATTTGATGATGTTGCGGCTGGAGGCGGGTCGTAGGCCAAAACTGGGGAGGAAGGCGGGTCGTCGCCTGAAATTACGGCGGAAGGAGTATTTCTATCTGAAGTTGGGTCCGAAGGCAATTTGTAGACTGAAGTTGGCTGGTCGTCAGCTGCAGATGGAAAGGAAAGCGGTTTTCTGTTTTGCGTCGAATCAGGTGGTGGCGTCGAGGTTAAAAAAGCCGAATTAGGACGGGCAGCTGGTGGAGAGTGACTTGGCGCTGATAGTTGCGGGGGATTCTGAGTACTAGCACGTCCGTGCCATGTACTTTCGAGCTCGCTGAAACTCATGGCTCCTGCTGATCTCGTCGTCTCCGGGGGGAAAGGAAGAGGTGCTGAGTTGTTTATGGAACTGGACCGTTGCATCGGTGAAACTACCACAGCGGGAGCAAAAGGTTCCGAAGTAGATGACACTACGTTAGCTGCTATCGATGCATCATGACTTCCATCATCGTCCTGATAAGAGCAGTGGGTCATATGTTCTCGTTACCATACACATATTTATGACATGAGCACTCACAGCCTTAAAGTCAAGTCCCTCGGGCGGTCCGGGTGTGGGCGTTTTTCCTTCTTTAACAGCTTTTAAAATTGTCGCCGCCTTGTATTTGCAATAGCGACGCTTCTCTACAATCTAAGAAACAATCCAACCATCACGATGATACATTCACGCATCATACCACTATAACTCCAGTCTAAACTTCGTACATCTTCTGGAATATCGCCAAACTGAGTTAGAATGTCAAAAAATGTGCCAGCAGCATAGAATGTGCGAGCTGTGCTTCTATGAGACATACAATAGCATGAGCAACTTCCATCGAAATGCAAATCTTTACCACGCACTTGTTTGCCTTCCCTGCGCGATCCTCGTCATCAGCTTTAGAAAATATTTCGGTCGCAAAATCCTCGCAAATTTCCTATTATGAAACGCTCGATTACCGCCTAAAAACCTAGGCGCCAAACAATTTCACTTCAAACCTTCCCTTCCTCCTGCGTAAATTCTGGCAGACTTTTCTTCTCGTTTTCCAAACGGTCCATGAGCGACAATAGATAGTCTGTCGATTCGTTAGACACATCATTCTCACGTAGTTTAATGCCCAGCTCCATGGCATACTGGCGGCAGAAATATGCGATCAGCTTAGATTCTGGTCGCGATGTATCCCTATCCAGCTCCTCAGCACGCCTGATGAATGGTAAGAGCGTCTTGAATGTAGGCGGGATCCTCACAGGCTGAGGGTCGGTCGTCGTCGTCATCGAAAAGCTTGTTTTTATATTTAAATAGGTAAATATACATCAATACAAACTGGTGATTGATATAATACCGATGGAATATCACAGTGACGGAGGTTGGGTTATTTGGGTTTGGGTTCTATCAAAAAATCATGGCTTATCATCTTTTGGAAAATTTGGTCATTAATTTATAGAGTTCGTGCCATGATGTGATGATTCATGGGTGGTAGGTAGCCTGGTTGCAGCGGGGATGCCGATGCTCTTTGCTTGAAGGAAGCTACGTTCTTTGCAAGAACCAGAACGAGTGTAGCGGATCGCAACCCGCTACCTCATGAGTACATAAAAACCTTAATGAAGGTAAGGACGCTCTTCTGTTCAAAATTGAAAACTATTTTAATTGTTTAAGTTGCGGCAGAGCCCAATGTCTATACCTTAGGATTTCCTGATTAGTATGGATATATCAAATCGATATAGTAAACCTAATCAATATGCTTTACTACTGGCAATCCTACGCTTCTTGTAACGGGGTTACACGAGGTGTGTCACACGAGATGGGCATGGTGTGACTGCACCCAAATAATAATACGGTACGTGGCTGGGTAGCCAGTAGTTATGCATGTTTTCGATTTTACTATATATATTTAGGAAAATCTATACATTTGAACTTAGACGGCTTTGCCGCAGATAAAAAAATAAATAAAATCAGTTTTCGATTTTAACGAAAGAGTTAATTAGCCTTGGGATAAGGCAATATTTATTCTTGGAGTTAGCGGATTGCGATCCGCTAGACTCGTACTCGCTCTAAGTATAGAACGAAAGGTCGGTGACCTAAGTTACGCTCCCTCAAAGCACAAAGAGCCCCGCTGCAGGCAATCCTACCACGTATTGGCTTCTTGTCACGGTGTAGTTAAACCATTGTGTGATTACACCAACTTGTGTGATCCACACCTATGTACGGTCACACCATCTTGTGTGACCCGCCGTTACACTCTCCCCCATCAAAATTGTGAATACCCCACAATTCACATTTAACTGTCGCCTCATACGAGGCTTGCGTGTCTGATACACCATGACGTCCCTAGGACAGCTTTGAACATTTTCCGCTCAATGAGCCCTGTGTATATGACATAAAAACACCCAGCCTAGCTTGTAGCGAAGGCGCCCGCGCGAAACCCTTCTTTTTCTGTACAGAAGGCACCTTCGGACAGTACGTCCGCGGCTTCACGGTGGGCACATCCCAAGCTTTCGGCAACCGAGCGCTACACACTGCAGCGCCACGGGCGACGAATTTTCTAGTCGAGAATTCTGAGGTAGTCGACTACGAGTCGGATACTATGAGAAGACGAGGAGGCTGAGTTGTACCAGCGGCGCGACGTTAGCCCTGTTCGAACCTTGCGGACACCGTGTCCGCTCCCCGACCTCGGGAAGTGGTTTTGTTACCAATCGACTCGACGAGGCACAGAAGCAGCAGTTGGAGGCTGCTCTCATGCGCTCGTATCCACATTCGGTCCTAGACCCTCGTGTGGAATACGACTTCCGCTCGGCGGATCCCGCTACTGCAGCGAAAGACGCGATCACTCGATCGTTAGGTGTCAACGTAGTCGGCCCCCCGGCCACTCCACAAGCTGAGCTTGACCAGCGGAAAGTTTCCCGAGTTCGCATCTTGATACCTCAAGAAATCTCAACGGATAGGTACCGCGCTCGACTTCGAGCTCAGAAAGGAGGTGCTGCTATACCCGCAATGCGGACTATTCCTGTGGTGCTCGCCCCTGGCAAAATTGCTGCGGAGGATGAGGAGCGCTTTGATCGATTGGTGTAGCAGCACCGGAAACCTGTCTCGCTATCTACTTTACAGTGTGCCACAAGGATGTGGATGTGCGCGTTGAGCGCCATCTCCGATTTGAGTTTACCAAACTCAAGGTGCAACGCCGTTTTCGTGCGTATTGTCGCCCTGCGACACATGGAATCATCCATCACGCTCCCGCGAGCTCTGTGGTGTCTCACATCGGGGAGTCCACGACCACAACAGCTCAGGGCCATAACTTGAGCTCAGCCCATGACCCTTTGGCTTCCCAGGCTACTGCCGAGAAGCGTGGGGCGCGCGACGACGCGAAGAGCCATGATCCTGTTGATCATAAGCGACCACGACGTCTGGGCAGTCTTGCCGAAGTGGCGCCTCAACCTCGCACGAGTTCTCGGAGTTCCGGTATCCCACCACTTCACACAATATTGGGTTAGTTTCTGTCGACGACGTCGACCCATTAGGCGTTCCACATGGTAGTGGACGCCATTTTTCTCATCAGGAAGAGTCGGCGGGTGGGCGATGACGACTTAGTCGATCGCCGTCCGGTGACTCGGAATGCTCTTCAAACTTGGAGGACAAAGTCCGCCGTCATCGGCACTCTGCCGAGCATCTTTCCGAGGTCGCGAGTGCGGAAGGCCTCAGAGCCTGGCGCACTTTGTGCACCGACTGCCTCACGTTAAGGATTATCGTGCTCTGTCGGAGCGCTTCAAGCCGCCGAGCAGGCGAATACGTAGCTTTGCGCGACGGTGGAGCGCCTTGCGCCGTTGAAACTGAAATTTTTCACTCCATGCTCAAAATTAGTTGCTGGTTCAGCTTTTAGGTGGCCGAGCACCTTTGGGCACCGCCCCGGCTCCAGCGCTTCCGCATTCACTTGCGCCATATCCCGTTACGGCTTGAGCAAGCCAATATAAAACACCGAGTGGGTGCGCATCCTTCTTGAAATGTTCAGTGTATACGCGTGGCGCTTGACCACTATCATAAAAGGTCCAATATGCCGTGACAGATCTTCGTCTTTAAGACAGCAGAAACTGTATGTGTAGGAAGATTTTTCACATTTAGTAAAAACCAGGTCTCCGACCTCAATTTTTCGATATTTCGTCTGCTTCTTCTGTCTGCAAATTCTTTCTGCATGTCTTGGCTTTCAGCCATCGCATCGCGAACTTGTCGTGGGACACTCGGTCTGGTAGAAAGGAACTCATCGACTTCTTAACGGACATTGAGAGGACTGACATCAGCTAGCCGTTCGGCTATTCCTCCCCCACCAAGCCCTGAGCCTTGGGATGGCGGCGTCACCAGGACGCGAGGATTAACAAGCCCGTTCACGAAGAATGGCATGTAGCCGGTAGATATATGCACTGTATTGTTCAGAGCAACTCCAAGAGTGGCAGCATGGATTCCAGCGATTCGGCGTCTCAGCAAACGGCTGTGAAGATCGTCTTCAATGACGCTATTCATGCGCTCAATTTGACCATCGGTCCGCGAATGGTCCGCTGTTGACAAAGTCAACTTGGTGTCCGGCACTCTGAAGATTGAAGACCAAAATTTCCCTGTGAAGCGCGTGTCTCTATCCTAGACAATTGATTCCGGGAGTCCATGCTGTCGAAAGACACGATTGACAAAAGCGTCAAGTGCCTACTTCATCGCAAGTAATTCCTTGTCGTGGACTGGGTAGTTCCTGTCCGCAGCCTTAAGCTGGTGAGATTTGAGCGCGATCACCCGATCTCGCCCCTCGGCGTCTGCTTGTATCAGTGCACAGCCGATGGCAAAGTCCGAAGCGTCACAGACGACACTGAAAGGACGATCAGGGTTTGGCAACGCCAGTATTGGTGCATGAAGGAGGCTGTCTTTCACCCTGTAACAAGCTTCCCGATGCTCGGTTTCTCAACATTATTCCGTATCCTTCTGAAGAAGATTCGGCAATGGCCGTGTCATTTCCACATAATATGCGCTACACTTGAGCAAGTAGTTGGCGAGGCCTAGCCACTTGCACAAGTCTTCGAATTCGGCCAGTCCACAATGGCCTTGACCTTAGCGGGATCCGCTCGAAGACCACGCTTCCCACAGAAGGTCCTTAAAAGAAGGGCTTCTTCCGCGCCGAAGATGCACTTGTCTGCATTGGCGTACAGTTTGTTCGTGCGCATGAACACGAGCACCTCTCTCAAATGGACGATGTGGTTTTCCTCATCTATTCTCCCATACTCCGCAAGAATGTGGACGAAGATGTCGTCGAAGTATGTTTTTGCATACGCTTGGTGGACCTGAACAACTGCGCCACAAGACATAC